ACACGGGAGAGCTGTCGGCAGGCATTCAAGTGCGGCATAACTGCCAAACAGATTGTCAACTATCTGGTGATGCACTCACACCCACAGCTGCACCACCAGAACCCTATCATTCCGGGCACTGTTGTCGACCAGATCTCACTTTGGGAACAGGAAAGGGATCGACTCCTCTTTAAGGACGGCGTCCTTTACAGTCAATTCAATTCGCAGCCGGACTTTGATTTACTCAAGAAATACGCCAATGTATGCCATTATTATAACATACGCTATAAATTGAGACTTTATTTATGTTTATAATTTGTTTAAAAATAGAGTTTTAATTATAACTTAAAATAATATTCATATGTGTAATAGGATCTAGGTGTTTTGATTTGGAACAATCCTTTGCGACGAGTGATGGTTGTGAGCCATGACGGACACGACGAGGTGAGACGCTTCTGGAAGAGGCATAAAAAGGATCATTAAATTAACCATTCATTCATCAAATCATTAGACATTAAATCATTGATATTTTTGCAATTTATTAAATTTATTTATTACTAATAAAACGTGATATAACTTTGTATCAAATTTGTTTGATTTTTGTTTGTTTTATTGAAATATCATAGTTATGAAAATTCTTTCGGGGTTTGATTTTAAAAATAAATTATTTCAACAATAGGTTTATCTGAGTTTAGGCTTTCATTATATATTATTTTTACCACAAGTTTTGCATTCAAATAAATATTTAAATCAACTTATGGTTGAGAACCTAAAGAATCGAGAATTGTTTGCATTTATAAGTATTGTGTTTACGATTGAAGTTTATATAGCAATCAATACCAGAGTTATGTATTCAAATGATTGTGTACTCGTTAGTAGTTTTTAGGCATAAGTGGGTATTATATTTACATTAATAAATAATATGAACGGAAACCATACAAATAGTATTGGTTTTACAATTTATGAAATGCATTCAATTGAAGGGAAAGTCAATATTTTATTTTTAAATTGAAATTTAGATATTTTAAAATTAATATCCATTCAATTAAAGACTGTGTTATTAAAGTGAATATCTTTTATATATTTGTCAAAATAATTTTAATTCCTTAGAAAAGTTATATAAAAATTTATTCCTATCGTTAAGTGCTGTTTGAAAGTGTATTTTAATGAGAATTTTGTTTTAGACAAATCCCAAATGACACCATTTTTATGTGTAATACATTAAGTTATATAACAGTATATTTTTCGCCGCTAAACACTCGACTTAGCATTGAATTAGGAATATTTCGCTATCTTTTAGACATAAATGATTAGAAATGAAATGTTTGCAAAAATGTGTGTTTATTTGCGAACGGTTTACAGTATTCTAGACTTTTTAGTGATAAATATGTAAATGTTGTGAAGGATTATCAAAGTTGATAATAATAAAAAACAATTTTATGCCACTTTTCTAACCACTTCTCGAGTCATATTTTTAAGTCGTTGAAAAACAATACCAATAATAAAAGCTTATCTATAAGTACCCGAAAAATAGAAATAAAATCCATTAGAAAGTGAGTGAAAATAAATTTGTTTCTACTTTTAATAGTTTGTCAAAGATTTTGTAATTATTTGCATTTTATATATCACCGGAAAGACAATATAATAATACTATAAATAAGATATACTATTATTGTCTATTCGGGCAAAACATAGTCACTACTGACGTGAATACGAATTTAAACAATATTTTCAATTTCAGAAAATAAAAATACATTTTAATACCTTTTTCATGACTATAGCTAATCCGGTGTTTATATATCTTTTATTTATTTGCCAAAAGTTTGTAATATAATCTCAGATTTTAAAAAAATAAGCAATTCTTTACCCGAAAAAAGCAGTTTTAATTCTGGTAAAGAATTTTCTTATAAATATTCTGTTGGTTTACAAATAGTGTATTTTATTGACACAACTGTTATACACACTGTTGTCAGTAAACATTGATTGCTGAGCAGTATTTTGTGCGGAATTTATTGTTAATTAATTTTATGAGAGAGTGATTACCATTTCCTTTAAATTGCTTTTTCTTCTATATATAAGTGCCGTTAATGTCGACAAATGCTTATAAAATTTCTTATTTGACACATAAAACCAATTTATTGCACATTTTGTATGATAAAGAATTTCTAGAAATCTTGTGTTGAAAACAACCAGAATTGTTATCAAATGAATATTTGTAAATCATATTTCAATCTCAAACTAAAAATATTATTTGTATTTTGTCCTCACTATTGATTGGAAAATTTAAGTTTAAAAATAACTCGTTTCTCAAATGGCAAACAAACAATCCTTTTTACATTCATAGTAAATATTTTTGAAATTCATTGGTATAAGACTTATACTACATTAGGAACTGTTTTTAAATGTAATACAGTATAAATTTACAGTATTTATATGAACACGTAATTTAAACATTGATTTTATTGTACAACTTTTATTGACTAATACCCCGATATTATCAGTAAATAGAGACTCAATTTACAAGACTTTATTAGTAAATATAAAGATAGAAATAAAGGATTTGAAGTTCAAAACCACCGGATATTTACCAGAATATGTTTGTTAAGCAAATTATAGCCATATATTCGTTATTCGTTTAATTTACAAAATAATAATTTCTAATCTAATGAATGTCTTATTGAATAGCAAAGCAATTAATTCATGATAAGAAACTCATCGAAAGTGTTGGTCTAATGATAGTATTTAATGAATATTTAATTTTGTAATTATCTCGTAATATAATTGAAATCTATTTTTATATTTCCCAAATTTCCTGTAAGAATATTTAGTATATTTCTTATATATTTGTTAAACAATTACGAAATTGAGAGGAAATAATCGTTTTTGTTATACAATTAGCTTTATATCGCATTTATGTCTCCCTATTATTGTTTTATTATATATTTTACCGAAATATCATTAGATTTGAAAAATATTCAGACGCCTCAGGAGTTATAACAAACAATACAATACTTATATAAATAAATCTTATAATCGAAAAAATGTTTTCTACTTAATTCTTAAGCGCAAACAAAACTAATTTCCTTTTGATGTCAATTGAAAAACTAAAACTAAAAAACTTATTATTTGGTTGTCGTGGAGACCTATTGTAACCACAAAACAAGGATCACACAGCGATGCTATACGTTAACCACTATTCGGGAAATACTCAAAGAATAGATTAGGATTGTCTACACATTCAATAAGAGTCCATAGGATTGGAACGATCCTATAAACCACATTATTCCTATCAGAATAGTGGTTAAAAATACGTAAAACAGTTTAATACTTACGTAAAGAATAATCCGTTTTAATGGCTAAACGTGTGTAAAGATCACAAACAGCGGGAAGTAGTGATGGTTCTCGCCATCAGCGGCTATGGTGTCCGATGATAGGGGAGATCAATGGTTCCCATATATGTATATTTATAAATAGGTTGTGCCGTATGTTCTTCAGAGAAACCCAATTGTCTTCAAACAGAACTCTCG